GTGTGTGTACATGATGAGTTTTAAGATGTAAAGTTATAATTGTTCTCAAGACATGGAGACATTATGGTGATTTTTTTTCTCCCCTAAAATGTCTACAGGGAGGTATATGTTACTGCAATAACCAGGTATGTTAGAGAATAGTTAACAAGCACATGCTCTTAAAAGCAAAATGATATGGTTGTGAACACTAGAAATTTTATGCTGGAAGACTGCAACCTTGAGCAATTCATTTCATCTTCTGTACCCCAACTTACTTATCTGTAAAACGAGAGTCTATACCTTGGGACTGGTAAAAGTATTACACGACTTAATGCATATAACTTATGCAGAACAACACATTTTGATGATTATTTGGAAGTTTTAAAACAAATCATTGCTCTGTAAATGGTTGACTCAATGCTTTTAGAAAATCTCTTAAGCATTTGTTTGAAAAATTTGTCTATATGTAATGCATATCCTTATGAATTGTTGTGTTCTTTTCTATTACTGTAATTTTAAAACTGTAATTGCTATTTAAATACTAGAAATAATGCCTGAAACCCAATAACACAGGCAGGCCAGGCATGTTAGTTGCATAGCTGTGTTCATAATGCATATCCTTGTAGAAACAGATATTGCATACAAATGAAGCTAATACCTGAACCCACAAAAAACTGATTTGACCAATTTATCACTGAAGCATAATAATGATTCTAATATTCAAAATTAGGCACTGTCTGATTTCTCAGTTTTAATAGGAATTTTTAGGGTTATATTTTGGGGTGTCAGAAATGCATTTTCCCATTTTCTTTCTGCCGAATCCAAGGCCCTGTGTTTAGTGCCTGGGGCTGGGAAAGATTTTTCTTTTGGGGATCCTCCCAGCTGTAGCTCTTGACAATTTGTCTTACTCTCCAGAGCCTCCCTGATCTAGCTCTTTTAGGAACCAGTGACCTCAAGAACTAACCCGAACATTCCCCTTTAATAAATGTCACCTGTTAATTTCAGGCAGCGTTTTCTCCTGGCTTATTTTTCTCATTTTCCCTAATTTTCTTGCCTCTAGAGGAAACTGGATTACTTGTGATTGTCCTGTTTACACTGATGGTCATTTTAAAGAAGGGTAGAGTTATAGTGGACCTTTTCCTGTATCACAATTTCTTGCAATATAATAATGACAATTTGCAGAGAAAGTACCACTTTTACTTCCTTAGCATAACCTAGTTTTCTTTGAACCAGGTGGCCTAGGAGATGTGACATATGAGCACATATCCTGGAAGTTCTGAGAAAGAACAAAAAATCAGCCCTCATATCTGGCTGCTGAACTAGCCTGCTAATTAGTGGCTAAGTCAAGGTGCATCCAGCTGCATACAAAAATAATTGAAAGAACCTCAACATCAGAGGAAGGCAGTCCACAGCCAGCATGGGATGAGAAAGAAACAAGAATAATCTGTAACCACTAAAAATGACCCCAAATCCCCTTCTCTTCCACTGCTTATTTTTACTGAAGACAATGCTAGTCATGCACTGGTCCTCTCACTTTTTGGCTAAAGACAATTAAAATCCCCATTACCCTGATAGCAAGCAATCCAGGAACAAGTTCTTGCTCCTCTCAGCACTTCCAAAGCAACCCAGTCTAAACCCAAACCCATGACCAGCCCTTCTGAACACTCCTCCAAGGTAGCTCATCATTCTCCTTCTATGGCCTTCCTCTGTATAAACAGGTTCTTAAATGCAAGATTAATGACAGATGTGGTCCCAGGTGGTATTTGATGACTGCACTCAATCAGTCCTGGTACATGCAGCTATAAAACAATGCAATGTTTCATTGTATTCCTTTGCTTTCTTACTTTTTGTCTCATCACTGTCTCCATCACCCTTGAAAAGAGAATAGTAATTAATTTCTAAACAGATTGCTCTGCCTCCTTAATGCTTTCCTTGCATCCAGCGCCCTCTGACTCTAATACAAACTATCCTCATGGTTACTTCTGAAGTGGACAGTTCTCCATCCTTTGCAACCTAAAAGAGCTGAGGTTAGTTGAGAACCAGCAACACGTGCACCACTTTGAGAGCTGCTTGGAAATGCAGACACAGGTTCACCAAACCACAATTGAATAAGGATCTGCACTTTAAGCAGACATCCTACGTGTTCCTAAGAATGTGAATGTTTTTGAGACTTACTGCTAAATGTCCCAACTACACTCACACACGACTTTGGTGCAATCATTTGGTTTCTCCAGATTGACTTTGGGACAAAGCCCAAACTCCCTGCCTTGCAGTTGAAGGTTTTTTTTATCAGCCAGTTTCTTTCTACCTCATATTTCACACCTTCCTAAAAAATACCTTATATTTGTCACCCATGATGCAGAAGCCATGGTTCCCCAACTTCCTATGTCTTCTCACTTCAAAGGTGTGGAATTCTATCCTCCCCACAACATACCACCCCCTATCACTTTTTCTATGGAGTTGGAAAAACCTGACTTAGGGGTTTCTTCAGACACAATATGTTCCCCATCTTCCCAGACTAGGTTAAGGGCAGTGTTCAGACATTTACTAGCACCATTTATTAGCAGGGGTGCCATCTCTAGCACCTCCTGCCTCTCCTTGCTTCTGTGTTTCTTTGCCTTCCCCTTGAGTTTTATGGTGTAAGAAGTTTTTTCTTCAGTTTTAATCGCAGCCTAGCACAGGGCCTGGAACAGTGGAGACATTCAGTAAAGGTTTGGTGAATGAATGAATGCATATTTTTTTAGCATTTCTTGAGTTATTCATAATGAACGAGAATGCATAAAATAGTCCAAACGAGTGATTCTCCCTCCAGCTGAGACTTGCTAAAAATTTGACTTTGAATGCCTGAAGATGACATTCAATTAAATATGTATATGTGTGTATATACATGTTTATATGTTTATGTATTTAATGCAAATGTCATTCTTAGATATTTAAATGCATGCATATCTATGAATATGTCTATGTAAGTTATGTATATGTATATATGTATGTGTGTCTGTGTGTATGTATATACAGTAATGCCCTTTTTCCAAGGGGGATGCATTCCAAACTCAGTGGCTACCTGAAACCATAGATAGTACCAAAACCTTTATATGCTATGCATTTTATTATATATACACACTTATGATAAAGTTTAATTTATAAATTAGGGGCAATAAGAGATGAACAATAACTAATAAAACTTTTTTTTTTGAGATGGAATCTCACTCTGCCGCCAGGCTGAAGTGCAGTGGTGCGATCTCAGCTCACTGCAACCTTCACCTCCCGGGTTCAAGCGATTCTCCTGCCTCAGTCTCCCGAGTAGCTGGGACTGTAGGTGCGCACCACCATACCCAGTTAATTTTTGTTTTTTTAGTAGAGACGGAGTTTTACCACGTTGGCCAGGATGGTATCGATCTCTTGACCTTGTGATCCGCCCGCCTTGGCCTCCCAAAGAGCTGGGATTACAGGCGTGAGCCACCACGCCCAGCCCAAAATACAACATTTATAACAATATACTGTCATAAAAGTTATGTGAGTGTGGTCTCTTTCAAAATATCTTATTGAATAGTACTCACATATTTTTAGACCACAGTTGTCCACATTACCTGAAACTGCAGAATGTGATTCCACAGATAAAGAGAACTAATGTATAATATATATGCACATATATAGATATATATGAACACATTATTATAGATGTGTGCGCATGAGTGTGTGTATATCTATGTTTAATTGAATTGGCATCTTCAGGAATTTAAATATATTTATGTGTATATGTACATGTGCAACATACATATGCATGCATGCATATACAGTGTATATAATGTATACATATACAGTCATGCATCACTTAACAATAGGGATGAAGTTTGAGAAATGTATCGTTAGGTGATTTCATCATTGTGCAAACATCATGTAGTGTACTTACACAAACCCAGAGGTGCAGCCTACAGTACATCTAGGCTCTGTGGTACAGCCTGGTGCTTCCAGGCTACAAACCTATACAGCATGTGACTGGAAAGAAGACCCTAGGTAACTGTAACACAATGATAAGTATTTGTGTGTCTAAACATATCTAAACACAGAAAAGGTACAATAAAAATATGGTATCATCTCATGAGACTGTCATATATACGATCTGTATTTGTCCAAAATGGTATGCTGTGCATGATTCTATACATACATGCATATATAGGATATGTACATGTATACACACATATAATGTACACATACATGTACATATATGTGTATGTATTTCTCCTGTGTGCCTTCACATGATTGGGACCAACATCTGAAGGATTTAGGAGTTCACATATGCCACAGTGTCCCTGTCCTTGCTATTTTTATCCGATACTTACCTAGGATTATCACAACACACAGGGCCTTGACTTAGAAGTCCTTGCCGTATAACTTCTTGGTGAAAAGACTGGATTATGAGGATATACTATCCTGTTATCCATGAAGTTATCCTGCCTAATAGGGGCAAGTTTCCTCTGAACATCTTCCATTATGAAACAGGAGCAATGCAGGTGTGTGTCCCTTAGGGCTACTGTGAATGTCAAATAAGATCGTGATGGTCGGATGCACAGGAAGAAATTGACAAATGAGTTCCCATTGGAATGATAGTGATTTTCTGCCTCTTGAGTTTTGTTCAGCATAATTTCTTGCTGTCACTTGAAGGTTTACTCACCTAAGGCTCTCTATTTGAAAGTGTTAGGGTATTAGTATGTTGAACACAATTCAAAACACAGTGATGCAAGAATGAGCAGTAGTAGAAATAACTTTCAGACAGTGACATCTCAGGAGTTTCACTAAACAGGGCTTAGTTTTCCAAAATCAGGCCAGCAGAGCCTCCTCAACTGTGCATCTGGCCAAAGCTAAAGAATCCAACCCATTACCAACTAATTTATCCGTTTGTAGATTATGTCAGACGCATCACTTAGCTTTTATAAAGAAAAAGGCTTTCAAAGAACAAAAGCAAATAAAATACACCACCTACCAAGAAAGAATGAACGCATAAGTATTTGCACAAAGCATTAGAAAATACTGTGATATTTTATTATTAAAAATGCTGCTGAAAAGTTTATACATATGTGTCCGGCCATATATATCTTCTAATATTACTTAAGGCAAAATAAAAAACAAAATTCCAAAATAATAACCCAAGGAACCATTAAACCCTGCGTGCCTTTGAAGATCAAGAATAAAAGCCTAGGAAAGGATTTTTTTTTCTTACTTTTTTTCTCATTTTTTTTCTTTTTTCTCTTTTTTATAGATAGCAAGTATATTTTTTCTCATAGAACTCTATGAAGATTCTATAACTTCTTTCCATGTAGAAATAAGATATCATTTAAGATGTACTAAATCACTTTTGATCATAAACCCCTGTAAAAGCTAAAGTTATTCACTTAACAGGAACTCTTTTATTCCTTATTCAAATGTCACAAGCCTGATGCGTTACTGTACATATTGCTAGCAGGAGACAACTGGAAATACTAAACAAATACTGGAATTCACATTACAGACAGACGAAACCAACATGGATGCCACACATCACTTCCTTTGTAGTGTCACGGAGAGCCTATCTGTGGTTGCTCAGGTGGGGTCACACATTGCTTGCAGAAATGACCTGATGATAGCTCTATGAAACAATGAATTGGAAATGAAATCTTACCATGTCACCTCTCTGTAGGAAAGAAATGTTGCTTCACATGTGCTAAGCTGAGATCATAATATTTCACATATTTATACACAGAGAATCACTCTCAAATTTAACCCAAGACAAGCAACAGGATTTGGGGGTGATTTTTATGCATTTCTAAAAACATTTTTTTTATTTCTAGAGGTCACTGTCAAACACTGGTACATCCCTATAGTTTGAGTGTAATCAAAGTTGTTATTGCAAAAGAGCCAGGAAGCTGGATAATTTTATGGGGAATGTCCACTTTAGCAGAGACATTTAAGACTAGATTTCTAGAATAACTCACAATGGAGCCCAGGGACATGATCTTCAAATATCTTTGGCTACTCTTTCTTGGTAATGCAGTAATTTTTGAAAGACAAAATATAAAGTAACCATTGCTACCATGTTTCCTTATACCTTATAATACTCAAAACCTTCCTGAAAATGAGAAGAGAAATGAGAAAATGACAAGCTGTCAGAAAGACAAATCACTGATCTCCAGGTCACCAATTTAAAATGGGTGAAAAATTTCCATTCAATGCCTTGTCAGTGAAGCTATCCTAACTTCCCAGAAAACCCATGCAAAGCAGTTTTAATGTTCTATCCTTTTCCCCCATTCTTCTATAATAGTCGTAGTTTGGTGACCAGATACACACATCCACAAAAGGTGATATTTTCAGACAAGCATATGTTTTGTCCCATAAATTATATTAAAGATTTTTAAAAACTTGCTTACTGATAAATAAGGGACTGAGTGCTTAAACAGAAAGGAAAGACACATGTCTTCCTTCAATCTGATTAGCTAAGCTGAGCAGGTACTTCATCGGCCAAACCCTCCTGCAGCTGCTAGGGAACACAGAGGAGTATTTACTCCAAAGGCCATAGCCCCACCAAAGGCAAGCTTTCTTCCTTTTTTTTGGCATGATCCTGAAATGGGAAGCAATTCTTCCTAAACATATTCAAATGGCCAGAACTACAGAATAAGACTTCTATATATTTTTTCCCTGCTGATTGTGTGTGCGTGTGTGTGTGTGTGTGTGTGTGTGTGTCTAACTGAACAAACTTTAAATACATTCAACTTTGGGGACCTCTTTCTATGCTGCAATTTCATAAAAGCTAACATGTACAAATCAAAGTTTTCCAAAACAGTGGTCTCCTAAAAATGTTCTTGCATGCATGTTTGCAACCTGACACAGAGAAATAAGCCACAGTGAACTTCTGAGTATTCTGTATGACATAACATCCTCTTACAAATGAAAATCTCATGTCAGAAAATCACGTTTTGTTTACAAGTAATTAATAAGAAAAGCAACTCTTTTTTTTTTCGTGCAGGAACAGAGATGATATTAATATGTATGTGTCTGTATATATGCATATATATAAATATATCTATTTGTAGATATATGCAGAGCAGTGGTAAAAGCAGTATCTTGCTAAAACGTTTCAAACTGAAAAAAGCAACAAAATATTTTTTTCTTTTTTGTGTTTTTGTTTGAACTCACAGCTATATACATTTTTATTTTTTACAAAGTTTCTTAAATATAGTTCAGGCTGGCAAAACACCTCTTTGCACAGAACCGTACAGATTTCACTGCATAGTCAATTCTTTTATTTTGACATTAAATTTCTACCTTTCCTTCTCTCTGGATTACAGCTTCACGTGCTGGGCAAAAGCCCATAGACTCTTTCTTCCCTTAAGGAGAGCCATCCATTGTGTGGCCCAGAAAGAAATGTTTAAATTTCCATTGTAATTAAAAAACATTAAGTGTCCCTGGCTGAGTTCCGGAAGTGTCAGTTGCTTCCGTGATGGTGGAAACACCCAGGTCCTTGAAATGGTGATGTCCTAGTCACACGAAACATCGAAACATCGGGTGGAGTGGCCAAGATCTTAAAGCAGTATTGTAACAGAAATGTACACTTTTCACATTTCATAGGGTCAGAAGTTGATCTCGTAATACTGGAAAACGCCAATGAGAAGGGTGTACCGGGACAACGGGATGACTGCTTTTTTGCATTTTTGTCTTAAGTCAGCGGGAAAATAATATTCGTGATTTGGAGACTTTCTTTCTCTGTTTCTTTATCTGTTGTGTGTTGCTGGGCTGGAGGGGCAGAGGGACAGGAGGGGAATGCCGCAAAGCTATACTCTAGTGGTGGAATGTCCGTGGGGTAAATTGGTACTGTTCTGCCCTCCGCTGAAGGTGTTGAAGGTGTGCAAAGGCTGCATCCCGGTCAGTGTGTTTGGAATCATGGTGATGGTGTTTGGCGTCATCAGCGGGATGTCATCTGGCGACCGGCGCAGCGTGAGGGTGTAGTCTGGCGGGCAGGTGAGCCTCAGCGTGTCGTGCGCCTGCAGCGACTCACACTCGTGATCGTGCTCCAGCTGCTTCATCTGCAGAGACATCATCTCTTCATTCTGGATGTGAGCGATATCATTTGTGGTGTTTCTCTGGGGACTGGGGCGCCTGTGAGTCTCATGGCGCCTCTTGTCCTTTTTGTAGTACAGCGCTGCAAAGGCCAAAATGTTGAGGAAGAGGAGCGACGCCCCGACGGCAATGGTGACGCTTAATTCAGTGGAATAATCCCGTTTGGTTTCAATGAGGACAGTTGTGTCCTCCGGCCCCGTTTTGTGAGGGTCCTTCGAGTGTTTGGGATTGTTGGCAGGAGTGATAGCTGGGCGTTTGGTGGTCGGCCATATCTTGGCAGGAGATCGCCGGGTACCATAGGGAAATGAGGTCATGTCTGGAGGAGGAACCTTTGTGGTTGTTGAAACATACTGGAATATCTCGTTCAAGTTGTGCAAATGAGGAACGAGTTCCAACCAGAAAGCCACTTTCGTTGCCCGGTAATGATCTCTCACTCTGGGTTTCAACCCAATATGCAGATAGAGCTGGTCTTTGGGATTATACTTGGACCAGGCCACTTCCTCAAAGCGGTTGGGTTTCGTGTGAATGAACTTGGTATCCTGTGGAACTGGTTGATTTGGATCACTGGGGATAGAACGAAGAAAACAAGAAAGGTCATACTCTTCCATATTTGACATTAAAGTATCTTAAACCAATAAATCAGGAAGTTACAATCTGCTCTTCATGTATGTTTATCAATGAGCACAAAACACACAAGCAGCAGCAAGTGCATTCTGCTTTCATCCGACACATGTCTACCATATTGTCTTTTCCTTTTAAAATTGCTCTTATTTTTCTTTTAAATATAAATCCTGAAAGCAGTATTATGGCACTTTTATAATAACATGTTTACTATTTTTCAAGGCATCAAATGATCTTCAAAAATAAAGGGAAAAAAGGAAAATGAAGTATCTCTAGGAAAAATTTCAGTATTTCAAGTTTCACTCATTTTGAACTGTAAAACTCATCCAGGAGTGATTTGCTCCAAAGGGATATTTGGCAATGTCTGGAGACATTTTGGTTTTCGTAGACAGAGGAAAGTTCCTATGAAAGCTGGAAGTCAGGGATGCTCCTCAACACCCTCTGGTTCACAGGAGAGACCCCCACAGCAAAGAAGTTATCTAGACCCAAGTGTTAATGGCATTGAGGTGGAGAAATTCTGATTAAGAAACTTTTGTTCAAGAAATGGGCATTCTCTTTCTTGCTCAAGAATTACTGTCATGTGTGTACCTATGGAACAATCTTACATGTTCTTCACATGTACCCCAAAACCTAAAATGCAATAAAAGAATAAAAAAGGAAGAATTGCTTTTGAAGTAAATGAATAGATGTTGCAGTTTTAGGAATGAAAATGGATATTAACAGTCAAAACAAAAATAGGCTTTATAATTACAAAATGTTTGTAAATAGACATATGCACCATTTGTTAGCTCTCTATTTGAAAGTAAAATACGTATGCACGTGGACACCTTTTGAAGACTGAGTCCAGAAAAGAAGAAAGCACACTACATTAGTATAAGAAGTTTGGTAAAATGATGCATATAGTTTTGGTGAGGTTAACATGTTTAAGATAAATAACACACCCAGAAACAAGCTGAGGGCTATTACAGATACTAACTCGTGCTTGGAAACTATGAGCCAAAGAATTAGCTTATTATTATTTGCACAAGTGGGCACAGGTAGAAGGAGAATCAAAAACATTTGGAGACAATTCATAAAACATAAAGCATTTAATAAACATCTTTGGAACCAACTCTTTTAAGATAACACTTCCCCTTCAAACAACAAATGGCCAAATTCTCGTTTCTTCCTTTTTTTTTTTTTTGGTTTTTATTTTTTCTCTATCATTTAGGCTGGAGTACAATGGCATGATCTCAGCTCACTGCAACCTCTGCCTCGCCGGTTCCAGCAATTCTCCCACCTTAGTCTCCCAAGAAGCTGGGAATACAGGCATGCATCACCACCATGCCTGGCTAATTCTTTTTTTTTTTTTTTGGTTTATTTGTTATAAAAAAGATTTGAGATTATGCATGGTAAAATGTTATCTAGTGGTTAGCACTGAGCATTTAGATGTGATGTACAGACTCAGGCAAGCAGGGAGTTGCAACACCCTGATCAACGGCTCCAGGTTTAAGCTAAGGTCTATCTTCCAGGTAACTCCTCCTTGGGGGGACTTTTGTGAAGCTGCCTCAGACCATTGCATATTGGCCTGCATGGCAGAAGGCTGCAGGAGCAAGGAAGAGCATGTATCTAGCCATTACCAGACATTGTGTGGGATTCAAACAATATACTTGACCCAGAGGTGCCACATGTGCTAAAGGAAGATTCTCTCCCCTCAATTTGAGTCTGTGGTGGTGGTAAAAGAAATCATTTCCCTGTATTCAACTTTCTGAAGCTGTGGATAGTTAACAGCTATGAAATCTAGAGCAAGTTTTCCAGCCAGTGTTGGCACTAATTCACTCCTCTACATAGTGAATGAGAATATCAGGCTTGGAGGTAAGTAATGAAGGTTCAAAGAAAATGAAAAAATGTCTGGCATGTGGTAAGAATTCAGAAAATATTATCCCCTTTCTTCCAATATAAAAATTAGAACACCTACAATATTGCAAGGAAGGGAGAACTAGGGAATGATATACTGTATATCAGAGTATATACTGTAATTCTATATTACATAGTATATGAGTATATTGTATATTACATAGTATATACACGTATACTACATGTCACAGTTTATACTGTATACTAACTGTATACTATATGCAATATATGTGTTTATATTATGTGTGTATATATGTGTATGTATATATCTATCTATAGATAATAGCTATAAGATGTATAATGTAATAGAGAAGAAAAAGAAAGTTGACCTTTACCTTTTAGTTGAGTGTACACTAACTGCTGTGCTTTCACCTTACTAAGATGGTGAGAACAAATATATACAATCTCATAGGTTCCAATACCATGAGATTTCTTATTTACTCATAAACAATGCATTTGAAAAGTCTTCCGTTTTTTATCTATTGTGCATGTATTCTTATGTGGGGCTTTGAAAAAATGATGGATTCAATGTAGCATCTCATGTTTCTTTTGCTTCTTTAAGCCTTCTGAAATAATTTTTAAATTTTCACTTATTTAATGTGTTGAAATAAAAATAAATGAATAAATCTTTTAGGAAAAAATTTCCTAGTATTTGTTACTGATTTTTAATATTCTAAGGAAATGAATGGAAGTGAAGATTCTTCCTTTTTTTCCATGGATCCAATTTTACTGAATTGGTTCTATTAGATGTGCGGCAATCTCATCTACTAGGCAGTGAGCATCTCGGAAAAGGAGTATTCTGTTCGTGTTGGCTACTAGGCTACTTTTGAAGGAATTCAGGGTATATTTGAGAGGTAAAGAAAACACATTTATTTTGTTCTCGAATAGTAAAGCAGAGGATTTGGGAAATCCAGATAAGTGAGCTGCCGCCTGACAACAATCTGTCTATTAAAGATCTGGGAGATGTATACCCAGAATTCTCAAACCCAGTTAAACTTGTGGACATTATGACAGCCCAAGTCATTCTCCCTTACCAAACCCTCCAGACAGTGAGATCTGGACGTGGGATACCAATGTTTTGTCTTTTAGACTTTATTCAGCATAAGAAGTGTCTAAACTCCTGTGAGAAAAATTAAAGATTGCAGTGACTGAGGATAGAAGCACAAATTGTTCTCTCTAGCAAAATACTCAATGCATGTCTTCCTCCTAATGCTCCAGCACTTAACGCATCCATTTCCACCCGTCCTATTTTATTTGAAATGCAATTTTGGCAGCGGAGACTCGAGTGCCTAAGGTCTTGTTCATTTCTTTAGCTAGAGATGGATACAGTACTATGATCTCTGTAAAAATATCTGTGAATCCTCTCTGCTGTTCCTTTAAGTAGTACAGGTTTTCCTTACACCCAAAACATTGTTAGCAGTTAACGATCTGTTACTAGTCTAGTTCATTATGCAGTCAGTGATTCCTCTTAGGCACCTGGTGAGGATGTTCATTCATTCAGCTTAAAATCCTTTTTTGCTAATAAAGGTTGCCTTTACAGCCAGAATTATGCTGCAACTTTCTGTAACCCATCCCCACTAAATACCTCATTGGGACTTCTTTTATTCCCAAAGATTTAACAATGGTTGAATATAAGTTAATTATAGGATACAGCACATTCAAAAGCAGTGATGGCGTCTGACGCAAACAGGATAGAAATCAATCTGCTGTACAAACCCCAAACTTGATGGAACAACATAAAACAATCAAGATATGTGTTGATTTGATTTGCCATTACAAAACTATCTTCTCATTTCTGACTACCAATACCACCTAAGGTCTTCTATTTTATGTTATAATGCATTGTTTGGTTACTTCAAAGCACTGCCCTTTGTCATAATTTATAAAGAAACTAAGATTCCCCCACTCCTTTTTGTCCATCTCTTTCTAGACAGACCTCAAAATGAAAGAATCCTGGATCAATGAGCACTTGAATTTTATTGATCGGCTTGGACAAACCCCTTTTCTCCAATTCCCAAAATAATTTTAAAGGAAAAGGACTTTAATTCTCTAGAACACTTTTCAAACCTTAGAGTTAGTGTTCACTTTTCCTTGACGCTGCTCCTCATTTCCCAAAACGGTCTCAATCTACCTTATTTCTCCAATGCCTCTCCATGTTTGGGCTTGCACGGTTCTCTTCCAGCATGATTTTAGCACCCTGACCTGGACTAAACATTGAAGCACCTCCTTGCTGCAGAGGAGAATCCCCCTCAGGCACAGGCCTGGGCACCTACTTCCCCATTGAAAATAATCATACAAAAAAATAGCAAGGATTACTTGAGGCCCTGGTATTCACTGATTTTAACATCCTGTCTTGATGGAGGTTTTCACGGTGTACAGCCTCCGCAGGGACCTCCTCCTCATTTCTACTATGTGTACTCACTGACTCTGCCTTTCCAAGATGGGAGAGCCCTCTCACCTAATGCTACCATGAAAACATACAGGTGACATGGTTTGTAAGCAATGATCCACTTGTCCGTCCCTCCTTCCTTCTTTCTTTCCTCCTCTCCTCCCTTCCCTCCCTTTCCCTGTTTCTCTTCTTTCCCTCCCTCCTTCCCTTTTTACTCTCCTCCTCCATCCCTTTTTCTTTTTCCTCCCTTTCTTCCTCTCTCCCTCCCTTTCTTCTTCCTCTCCCTCCATTTTTTCCTTCTCTCCCTCACTACTCTTTCCTTTCTTCCTCTTCTTTCTCCCTCCTCCCTTCCTCTCTTCCCTCTTTTCTCTCACTCTTTCTTTCCTTTCCTTTCTACCCTTTCTTCCTTCCTCCCTTCCTTTCTTTCTACCTTTTCTTCCTTCCTCCCTTCCTTCCTTCCCTCCCTCTCTCCTTCCTTCCTTTTCTTCCTCCCTCCCTTCCTTCCTTACCCCCCTCCCTCTCTCCTTCCTTCCCTTCCTTCCTTCCTTTTCTTTCCTTTCCTTATCCCTTCCTGATTTCTTTCCTTCCTTCCTCCTTTCTTCCATTCCTTTCTTGATTCCCTCCCTCCCTGCCTCCCACCTTCCTTCCTTCCTTCTCTCCCTCCCTCCCTTCCTTCGACACAATTCTCTTTCCTTCATTACAACCCTTCTCCCTTTCTTTCTTTTTTTCCAACATGCACGTCCCAACATCATTTTTCTGTTCTCATCCAAAATCCAAAGTTTATGTATAGGAGGTATATGTGCCCTCAAACCTAGACTAAAGGTCAAAAGCATCTGCTTTGAGATGTCTGTATAGAGGCATCCAGACACCATCCACTTCATCTCGACAAACTTGCGTGCCGTCAGGAGAGTGTGCCGTGTCTGCAGGTTTAGAACGCTTGACGTGACACTCACTGAGAGTGGTAAAGTACGTCCTGGCACAATGCGATCCTCTCTCCACGGCACTGTGTAGTGACAGACATGCTGGGAGCTATTCTTGTTTCCTCCTATCACCTCCGGTGCTGGAAGGGAACAGTGATGGTATGCAGAAATAAGCCCTCCTGTTCTGTGAGTCACTGTCTGAGTGTGTGCTCTGCAGAACGGCGTTAAACTTGGCAGCTCACACTGTGACAACAGATAAGGCACATTCCATACTTTCTCCTTATGGGTATCAGGTTGGTTTGTTCTCTGCACCTGGTGACAGGGAGTCCTCCGCTGCCCTGGACTGATCGGGCCACCACCCAATTTGCAATAAACAAATAATTAGCAACTGCAACTGAAGCCCTTTTCATCCACTGACAAACACCTAGCCCAGACTGTGCCTGACAGTGAAATTCCCCACTTCCTTCTGTTATGGGGCTGCCACGGAGGTGTGATCACTTCAACTATTTGTATTTGAATCCACACCTTGCATTTCACATGCGATGTAAGTTCTGAGTAATTTCCTTGAAAAATCATTTGAGTCATTCTGATACCTTTCCAATGAATTAAAAGAACTCACTGCACTCATATACTCAGTGCTATTTGAGGGACATTTCTCATGGGTGGAAGAAACAAAAATAGAGGCTTCAGCCGGACCAGTGTTCGAGCTCTGGGTACCTCAATGAACTGTCTCTACCTGCAGTTTTTGATTTCAGTAGCATCAGAGCGTCTCTCCAAGTTCTAGTGGTTATTCCTTCCCCATCTGCTCCAGTGATGTCAGGGCCTTCATGAAAGCTAGAAGCACCCTCAACACAGACCATGAATGGAGACATGGATGTATTCCCTAAACCCAGGGTGGAAATCCCAGGCTCCAAGCTAAGTGATTTTAAGAAACAGATTTATGGTGTTAGAAAGCACTCAGTAACAGAGAGATCACTGTAGTATTCTCATGGCTCTCTCAGACCTTCATGATGTCCTGGTAAAAGCATCCAGTTGCTGCCAGCCATGATAACCATCACCTCACAGAACTAATTAACTTCCTTTATCTTTTTCTGTCTTTTTTCCTTTTTTTAATAATGAGAGAGCCAGCCTCAGTCCCAGAGTCTTTGGGAGTCAGGAAGATAGATAGAGCTAATGAGAATTTAACAGCATTATTTAGATTTCACTATTGTTTTGATGGTTCTATAAAATGTATGAGGAATGATTCTAGCTTTCCACTTAAGATAATCGTGTAAAGTTTATTTTCAAATTATGTAAGGAGGAAAAGAAAAAGCATATGGTTTTAATAAAAGTAAGTAAAGAGAGTGTTTACATACAAAGTCAGTAATACATTTGTATGCCAATGCAGTGAAGATTGAATGAGCATGGCCCTTTTGGAAAACTCTCATGGAGGTCTTTAGGCTTCAGGAGGATGAAATTCTCTGCAAGGGCAGACACCGCCTATCTTAGTGCTGCCACAAAAGAGGGGCTGGCCCTGCCTTCACAGAATACTAGAGATTGAGTACTGTCTCCCCTTAAATTAAGGTACGCTGAAGTCCTCATCCCAGCACCTCAGTATGTGAGCTTATTTGGAAATAGGATGACTACAGATATAATTATTTATGTTAAGATGAGGTCATACTGGAGTAGAGTGAGATTCTAACGCACCTTGGCAGATGCTCTTATTGAAGACGGCCATGTGGAGACAGAGACACACAGGGAGGCCATAAGACGAGAAAGGCAGAGAGTGAAGGGTGCACCCGCAAGCCAGGAATGCCAAAGACTGCACCAAACCCCGGCAGCTAAGAAGCAGCAAGGAAATGACCCCCTACAGCTTTTGGAGGAAAATTGGCCCTGTGAACACCTTCATTTGCGACTTCTGGTCTTAGGAACTGTGAAACGATAAATTTCTGTTGTTAAAAGACACACAGGTTTTTGTGCCTTTTTGTTTGTTTTTTTATAAAGACACAGGTTTCTCTCTGTCAGCCAAGCTGGAGTGCGGTGGTGCAAACATGGCCCACAGCGGCCTCAGCCTCCTGCGCTGAAGTGATTCTCCTGCCTCAGCCCTCTGAGTAGCTGAGACTCTCAGCATATGCTACCACACCCAGATAAATTTTTTTTCATTGTTTTGTAGAGATAAACTCTCACTATGTTGCCCAGGCTGGTCTTAAACTCTTGGCCTCCTCAGGGGATCTTCCCACCTCAGTCTCCCAAAGTCCTGGAGTTACAGGCATGAACGACTGTGCCCAGCACAGACATACAGTTTTTGATACTGTTTTGATAGTCTGTTCTTAACAGCAGCCCGAGCAAACTAATAAACAAAGTCTACTTTAAGAAAAGTATTAATTTGATTTCAATCATTTCTTCACACAGGAAAGAACCTTTGTGTAATAGAAAAGCATCTCCACCAAACGGTCTCTTCTCCCTTCTCCTCCTGGTAGCCTTTCTCAGACCAAATCTACAAAGTCTGATTATTGAAAATTGGTACCCAGATGACACACTTTCCGCTCCAAAAACAGGCTGTACTTTTGCCAAGAGCACAAAACATTCTTAAGTCACTCCCAACCCAAACCACTTTGGAATCCTTGTACAGTATGCCAGCTGCTAAACACCTAGGCCTTGAAACCACCGGTATCCCCAGGTCTTCTCAGGATTACAGGGCCACTGCAGTCTCAGAGCCTCATTCCGCATGGGGAGATGGATCCTCCCTTGGTGACATGCATATCTCACTCTCATTTGCTGTAAAGAGGTGCAGGGTGGATGATGGAGGCACACAAAGGCAGAACAGAATGATATCCCATCCACTTCCACAGTTACATTATCAGACAAGACAAAATGAAAAGATGCCACAATGAATGGAGCTATTTAGGATGTTTTGGGTTCTTTTCTCCCATGGTTTGCAGAGAATCCTCTTAGCAGAATACTGGCAGACTCTGTTGTATGTGTGCTTTTTGTATATTTTCTATTTTCTAGTATGTTTAGGCCAATAAATGAGCTTTCCTGTGAGATACACATGTATGTTTGCGTGTGTGTTTGTATATGCATTCCATATAGCAATATGATACAAATATATTTTCATTTGCTCTCTCTCTCTCTTTATATATAGCTATTTATACAGCAAAGGAAATACATATATATATATTTGTATTTGTATATATGGTATATATGTTTGCATATATAGTATATTTGTTTATATAAAAATATTTTTCTGTATTTTATATATATACAAATACAAATGTATATGTACTATATATAATACATATGGGAATATCTATATTTATATATGTCTATTAAATATATATAGGAATACATTTTTATATTTCTCTGTACTTATGATATTTGTTTTCACTCCTATGGCCAGGCGATGAACACAGTTCCCCAAGTGGTTCGTGTGCTGTGATATCCTTACAATTTAACAAAAGAGATATGGTGTAAATTAGACTTAAAACTCTGTAATCAGAGTTGGTGCGATGGCTCACACTTGTAGTCTCAGCATTTTGGGAGGCTGAGGTGGGAAGATCGCTTGAGCCCAAGAGATTGAGACCAGATCAGGTGACATAGAAAACCCTGTCTCTAACAAAGTAAAGTTTTCTGCGTATGGTGGTGTCCACCTGTAGTCCCTGCTATTCAGAAGGTTGAGGTGGGAGGATCCCTTGATCCCAGGAGTTTGAGAGCAGCCTGCGCAACATGGCAAACCCTGTCTCTACAAAAATTCATGTGAGGGCACTTTGGTGCATCCCTGTAGTCCCAGCTACTCGAGAGGCTGAGACTGGAGGATCACATGAACCCATGAGTTCGAGGCTTCAGTGAGCTGTGATTGCGCCACTGCACTCTAGCCTAGGCAACAGAGTGAGGCCCTGTTTCTACAAAAAACGAAAATTAAAAAAAAAAAATAGCTAGGCATGGTGGCAGTCAGCTGTAGTCCCAGCTCCTCAGGAGGCTGAGGCAGGAGGATGGCTTGAGCCTAGGAGTTCAAGGCTGCAGTGAGCTACTGTTACATCACTGCACTCCAGTGTGGGCAAGAGAGTGAGCCTGTGTCTGTAAAACAACAACAAGAACCAAAACCAAACCATTTGATCAGCTATTAACAGAACCGTCATGTACGTGTGAGTCCTACACTTGTAGGTAGGAACTCTGGAATTTCCAATGGGCCATCAGAACCCTCGTAAAAATCTGGTTTGACAGTAAAGTGTTTTGCTCCTAGAACGCTTGAGGAATAAAGAAAACAATGAGTTCCCATAGACGCTGGGAAGGGGCTGCCTGTTATTGCTGGGTGTGTGTGTGTGTGTGTGTGTGCATGTGTGCCTGCATGTGTGTGTGTGTATGTGTGTGTGCTCCTGCACATGCCGGTAGAACCAACATCTGTACTGAGGACCCAAACGAGTGACGAGGACAGCGCGGCCCTGACCCGAAGAGGAACGTACCCAGTTTTGGCGAAGTTTGTCCAGTAGGTCATGACCACGGCGCTGAGCATGACGTCGTTCTTGGAGAAGTTACAACTGAAGAGCTCGGTAGGGCCGATCATGGGGACGCCGAAGACATAGGGAACCTCGTCGCCGTGGGCCGAGTCTGCCCAGCTGGGCTTCATTTCGCTTTGGCAGTGATGATAGAAGGCATAGAAGTAGGTGGGGGAGCCATACTGCGCGTGCAGGTCAGCGGTGGCCACGGCGGGGGCCACCCACTGGTGGTCAGTAAAGAGAGCCACCAGAGTCTTCCGCCGCGTCTCCGGGTTTTCCTTATCGGCCCAGTCTGTGTACATGAACTTGATAGTCTCCCGCAAAGTGTCTTTGCCTTCAGGATAGCCGTAAAGATTGTCCACGAAGTTGGACACGGAGAAGTCAAAGTCATTGGGCGTCACACCATCCTCATTGTCCACGATGCCGTCCACGAACTTCAAGCCTTCCCCTTGGTTGACGCCCAGCATGATGTCGTAGTTGAGGAACTCGCCTTGCTCCATCAGGATCTGGGGGTCGTCTGGGATGACGTCGCCGTCGATCACGGGCCCGAAGGCTATGTGGTAGGTGGCTGGGGTGATGGTCTGCTGGATGAGCTCCTTGTAGTTCTTGTTCCGCAGGCATTCTACCATGTCCGTGGTGTCCAGCATGTTGCAGCCGACCTTGTCTGCCAATATCCGAGTGTACTTGGCCGGCTGGTAGTTCACTGCCCAGCTGGACAGGGCGGTGCCGCTCTGAATGATGGCCTTCTGGAAGAGACCTGCAGGTGCAAAATTGTGGACATGCAAATGAAAACCCGCAGGACAGAAACGCAGCTTTTACTGAGCAATGAAGGCTGTGATTGTCTCTCAGGCATGTGAATTTTGGATGTAGTAGCATTCAGCTCTGTCAGGGGCCCTTTTACCCATTTTCATTTCGATTCCCCCTTCCTTCCTCCCCCTGAACATTCATTTTACAGAAGGTTATTCTACGCGCACGCACGCACACACACACACACACACACACACACACACACTCACACACGAGTTTAAGAAAATGAAACCACATTGTCACTTTTCCTGCACTGGTAAAATACATGTGACTTCATTTTCTATCCACAGTTTGGTGTCGTTTTTGCTTCCTTGCCTCCAGATGCCATATATATAAACTAAAACAGAAACTGCAATATTGTTTTCCAAGGTGATGAGGTCCAGTGGTTGAGGAAAACACAAACAGGCTTTAAACTGGGAAAACTTAAAAGGCCCTCTTGTCTCACAACCAAATCCATTTATCTCTTCATTCAGGGAAATAAAAATCCACTTGAATCAATTTCAGGGTGCTAATTTAGGATTGTGTTTTTACCTTTAGTCTAATGAAGATAAGATTTAGGAATTAAATGCATGGACTTACCTATGCCTACCCCTCAACTGTGTACCCAAGTAAACAGTATTTTTTTAAGTAATTTCCTTCAAAAACCACATCTGTTGTAAAGCCAGAGATGTATATATTTTATTTTGCCCCATATGAAAAATGTGTCATTTGATGAAAAACTTGAAAATTCATAGCCAATTTTAGAAGGAATATTAAGTGAAGCTTAAAATTCTCCATCTACAGCTCAGTCTACTACCGAGATGTCTAGAATTATAAAATCTGTATTTTTAATCATGACAGGACAATAGACAGTGGTCTGTAAAAGCTAGAGCATTCTATTTGCAATTGCTTCCTATTCTTTCCTTGAATCCCTGCCTGAGTTGGACACTAAAGAATAAGGCATTCAGCTGTGAGTCCAGAAGTTCATGCCCTATCAATTTTTAAGGTCACAGAAGCAATCAAATATGAGGAAAGCATGACTGTCATCAGGAAGATGTGATTTTAAAGATTGGAGGATTGCCGAAAGATGACACACAGGTCTGCCAGTTGAAAGCAATATGGTTTTGACCACTATGTCATCAAAGCCATCTTGGGAACATTTGTCAAAAATGTGCAAGTATTTACTTGAGTGCTTGGCTCTGAAGATTACTTTAAAATGTCTAAAAAAACCCAAAGTCAATATGTAATCTATTGGATACTTTCATTATTTAAAACACTCAGAATTGGAAAAAAAAAATGTTGTGATAAGTTCCTTTCCCGCCCTTCTCATAACTACTGGAAATAATTTAGGTAGCAGTGTATATATAAGTAACATATATAAAACATTTATTTGTATGTTAGGGAAGTAGTATAACTCCTGATAAGATTAAAATACTTGGATAATGAAAAAAAATCACGCGTAATTCATACTTTAAAGCACAACTCACCCTAGCATAATGAGTATGCTAGGAATTCACATAATTCTTAGCTCTTTCTCCCCCATTCAAAGGTCTGTTTTGCATAGCAGAGCCCGACATTTATATAGCTGTCTACACTGTGTTTTTCCTGCTGTTCGTATACCTTAGGTAAATCCTTAAATTATTATTCTTCTGAGTAAATACAAACGGTTCATTATAACTTTCCTCCCCTTTTGATCTTGTAGCTTTTCATTTCATTCTTTGGTATGATAATAATATTGGGGTGAATATTTTCATAAAACTATCTCTTTCCACGTGTACTTTGTCTTCATTAGACTAGATAATCAGGCAAGAAATTCCTAAGGCAAAGTCTGGGTATTTTTATTTTTATTTCAGACAGGGTAACACTCTGCCACCCAAGTTGGAGTGCAGTGGGCATGATCTCAGCTTGCTGTAGCCTCTAGCTTCCAGGCTCAAATGATCCTTCCACCTCAGCCTCCAAAGTAGCTGGGACTACAGGTGAGTCTCTTTTTTGCAGAGATGAGGTTTTGCCATATTGCCCAGGCTGGTCTTGAATTCCTGGACTCAAGCAATCCATCCGCCTTGGCCTCCCAAATTGCTGGGATGACAGGCTGTTTAGAAGCACTGCCTTGCAGAAATGACCAATGCAAAGGTGTCGTTGCAGCTGATAATAATTTCTAACCTGTTGACTTAAATAATTAACACTTTCCTCCGATTAGTGTGGCTTAAATGTGTTTGATTACTCCTAAAGTTGGTTCTGCTTTCTAAATTTACAATTGTGACTATATCAACTGAGAAAAGTGAAAATCTAGGTATTTTCAAAAAATTACTTAGAAATCTCTATACCAAATGGTTCATCAGATTATTCACTTTTCCTGTTTTTAAAATAAAGTTAATACAAATATGAGCCTTTCCTCTTATCATCACTAGTAAGAGGTCAAAGGCCATTTGGTCTCATGGGCAAAACATTATGAACTAAAAACACAAAGAATTCAGAGTTTGGAGGATTTTAGGAAATCCTCATCTATCCTGTCTTGCTAATGAAGACAATGAGGAGCATAGTGATCCAGAAACTTGTCCAGATGGTGCAGGAAGTTAAGAAAGTCCTGCGGTTACTTTAAAGATGCTTAATTGTATGTATGTATGTATGTGTGTATGTATGTATGTATGTGTGTATGTATGTATGTATTTTGAGACAGGGTCTCACTCTGTCACCTAGCCTGGAGTACAGTGGCACCTCACAGCTCACTGCAGCCTCAACATCCCTGTCTCAAGCAATACTCCCACCACAGCCTATCAAGTAACTGGGACCACAGGCATGCGCCACCAGGCCCAGCTGATTTTTACTGTTATACAAATGGGTTCTCACTGTGTTGACCAGGTTGGTCTCAAACTCCTGAGCTCAAGTCATCCTCCTCCCTCAGCCTCCCAAAGTGCTGGGATAACAGCCATGAGCCACCATACCCAGCTGATAACTTTAAAAATAAAAATTCTGGAGGTCGAGCTGGGTGGATCACTTGAGGTCAGGAAGTTCGAGACCAGCCTGGCCAACATAGTGAAACCCTATCTATTCTAAAAATACAAAAATTAGCTGGGTACAGTGGTAGGCACCTGTAATCCAAGATAGTCGGGAGGCTGAAGCAGGAGAATTGCTTTGAACCCAGGAGGTGGAGGTTGCGATGAGCCAAGGTTGTGCCACTGCACTCCTGCCTGGGCAACACAGTGAGATTCCATGTAAAAAAAAAAAAAAATCCATTAAGGTTTTGGGTATTTCAGATGTAAACGGTCCAGTCAGTATGGTGGCTTTCTGAAGACCAGTGGTGACACAGAACAAATTACAACACTGTCTTGATAACTAAGATGGCTTTATGAATATTCATTTGCAACTGGCCAGGTAACCCAGGGCTGGATCTGCTCTGCAGATTTTCCGCGTTCTACCTTTTAGGCCACAGTCCAGGATTTGTGATCCTGCTTCCAGAACCAATTGCCTCAAATTCCTGTGGCCTCCCCTTTGAAGTCTCTCATCTGATACTGCGGGGCACCTCCCTCACCAAGGGACAGCAGGGAATCCCACTGAGTGAGCCTCCAGGGAAAGCATCAGGCACTCTGGTGGGGCTCAGGGGTGTGGCTGTCTATGCTGACCACTGCTTAGGCAGCATAACCATCTACTGCTCAGAAGTCCAAGCGCACATTTGGTTGGGTATGGTCGCGTATGCTGACTACCATGTCCAAGTGCATGTCTGGTTGAGGTAACATGATGCACATGTGTTTTTGCGGTTTCCCCTTTCTCTGCTTGGCAGACAGCAGTTTTCTACAGGTTATTAGCAGGGCCCCAGGGAGAGTTTGGAGCTTCCATGGGGACAAGCAGAGGACCTCTTGCTGAGTAACCCAGCAAGGAGGTCCTTCCTAAAAGTCTTATTTGCAGGAGAGAGAGAGATAGAAAGAGACAGAGACAGGCAGAGAGAGAGAGAGAGAGAGAGAGANAATATGTAATCTGTTGGATACTTTCATTACTTAAGACATTAAGAATTAGGAAAAAAATGCTTTGAGAAATTTCTTTCCCACCTTTCTCATAACTACTAACAATAATTTAGGTAGCAGTATATATAAGTTATCATAAATAAAATACTTATTTGTGTGTTAGGGAAGTAATGTAACTCTTAATAACACTAAAAAACCTGGATGATGAAAAAAGAATCACCCATAAGCCATATTTTAAAACAGAACTCAGCATAATGAGTATGCTAGGAATTAACATAATTCTTTCTCTCACATTCACACACCTTTTTGGAATACCTGAGCCCAATATTTACACAGCTGTATACACTGTGTTTTTCCAGCTGTTGTATATCTTAGGAAAATTCTTATTCTTTTGAGTTTATACATATGGTTTGTTATAAGTCTCCTATCCTTTTGATCTCTTAGCTTTTCATTTCATTCTTTGCTATGAAAATAATACTGGGATGAATACCTTCATAAAACTATCTCTTGCCACATATATGTTGCCTTCATTAGACTAAAATTTCTAAAGTGAACAGCCTGGATATTTTTATTTTTATTTCAGGCAGGGTGTCTCTTTGCAATTCAGGCAATAGTGCAATGGCATGATCTTGGCTTGCTGCAGCCTCTGCCTTCCAGGCTCCACTGATCCTCCCACATTAGCCTTCCAAGTAGCTGGGAATACTGGCATGAACACCCACATCTGACAAATTTTTGTAATTTTTTTTGTTGTTGTTTAAATGGGGTTTCACCATGTTGCCCAGGCTGGCCTTGAACTCCTAGACTCAAGCAGTCCTTCCACCTCAGGCTTCCAAAGTGCTGGGAGGATAGGCAGAAGCCACAGTGTCTGGCTCATATTTTTCATAATTCTTGATTATATTGATGGGCTGTTTAGAAGTACTGCCTTGCATAAGTGACCAATGCAAAGGTAGTGATACAGCAAATAACTGCCAATATGTTGACTTAATTAACAACTTCCTCCAATTAGTGTGGCTTACATGTGTTTCAACGCTCCTGAAGTTGGTTCTGACTGCTTTCTAAATCTACAACTGTCATAATATTAACTGACAAAAGTGAATATATACATATTTCAAAAAGTCATAGAAATCTCTGTAACAAATGATTCATCAGATTATTCACTGTTCCTGTTTTTAAAATAAAGTTAGTACAGTTATGAGACCTTACTCTTCCCTGTAATTAGCACTAATAACAGGTAAAAGGCCTTTGGTCTCATGGGCAAAACACTATGAACTAACAACTCAAGAAATTCAGAGTTTGGAGGATTTTAGGAAATCTCACTCATCCTATCTTGCTAATGAAGGCAATGAGGAGCGTAGTGATCCAAAAACTTGCTCAAATGGTACAAGAAGTGAAGAAAGTCCTGCAGTTACTTTAAAAAGAGATACTTTTAAATTTGATTTATTTTTTTATGTTGAGGCAGGGTCTGTCACCCAGGCTGGAGCGCAGTGGCACTATCAGAGCCCACCGTAGCCTCGAGTTCACTAGCTCAACTGATCCTCCCACCTCAGACTCTCAAGCAACTGAGACCATAGGCATGCCCAGCTGATTTTTATTTCTTTTTGTACAAACTGGGTCACATTACATTGCCTAGGCTGGTCTCAAATTCCTGGGCTCAACCCACACTTCCCACTCTGCCCCCCAAAATGCTAGGATGACAGGCTTGAGCCACCCTGCCCAGCTGATAACTGCTGTCTTCTCTCTTGCCAGTCTAGAATGCACTGGTGTGATCTTCGCTCACTGCAATCTCTGACTCTTGGGTTTAAGTGATTCCCCTACCTCAGCCTCCCGAGAGCTGGGGCTACAGGTGCATATCACCATGCTCAGCTGTTTTTTTTTTTTTTTTTTTCTACATTAGTGTAGACATGGTTTCACCATGTTGACCAGAATGATCTAGATTCCCTGACCTTGTGATCCACATGCCTCAACCTCCCAAAGTGCTGGGATTATATGCATGAGCCACTGCACCTGGCTCCTGGCTATTAACTTTAAAAATAACAATTCCAGAGGCTGAGAGAGGCAGGAGGATCACTTGAGGTCAGGATGTTTGAGACTAGTCTGGCCAATATGGTAAAACACCGTCTCCACTATAAATACAAAAATTAGCTGGGCACAGTGATGGGCACTTGAAATCCCAGCTTTTTGAGAGGCTGAGGCAGGAAAATTGCTTTGAGCCTGGAAGGCAGAGGTTGTGGTGAGCCAAGATTGTGCCACTGCACTACAGCCTAGGTGATACAGTGAGACTCTCTCTCAAAAACAAAACAAAACAAAAAAAAACAAAACAAAATTCCATTAGGGTTTTCAGTACTTTGGATGTAAACAGTCCAGTCAGTATGGTGGCATTTTGAAGACCACTGATGACACAGAACAAATTGCAAAGCTGTCTTGATGACTGAGATGGCTGCTAGTGAGTCTCAGGCAGTGCAGCAGAGCTCAGGGATGTGACTATCTATGGTGACTAGTACTTAAGCAGCAAAACCAAGTACTACTTAGTCATCCAAATGCATTTCTGATTGAGTATGGTTTCCCATGCTGACTACCATGTCCAAGTGCACATCTGGGCATGATGCACATGTATTTCTGTGATATATATATATATATATATATATATATATATCTCACAGATATATATTATAATATATAATATATATAATATATAAATATAGATATAGATATATAGAGAGAGAGGGGGAGAAGGAGAGAAAGAGAGAGAGAGAGAAAGAGAGAGAAGCAAATTGTAGATAATTCCAAGTGCCTCATGCTGACGTGTCCAGCAAGGAGGTCCTTTGCTGAAAATCATATTTGCAGAAGAAAGAGAAAGAGGGAGACAGAGAAAAAAACAAAGGGAGAGATAACAAGATGGGGGAACAAAGAGAGGAAACAAGACAGTGAGGAAGAGAGTGGGAAAATGGAGAGGGAGAGAGAGGAAGAGACAGAGAGAGACTAGGAAAAACTAGGAGAGAGAGGAGGAATGATTGTGTGATGAAGAGTGTGGGAGATGGGAGAAACAGTTGAAGGAGGGGAGAGAGGGAGGGTGACAGACAGAAGAAAAGAGAGGGGACAGGGAGATTGAAAATGACATAGGCAGAGACAGAAGGAGAGAGTGAGAGAGGAGAATGAGAGGAAGAGTGAGAGAGGGAGGGAGACAGAGTCAGTGGGAGAGGCATTATTCCTTCAGGTTGAACCTACTTCTACATGAATGCACCAGACATATTCTTAATGTTTACAGAAGATTTAAATAATTAATATGAATTAGAAAAGTGACTTAAAAAAAGTCTAAAATCCCCCCAGAATACAAAATCTGTAAATCTGCAATATTGACATACTGTCTCTCTTCCTTTTTTACATAATGTCTCTCTTCCATACTACTTTTACCAAATTGTAGCTAGAAGTTAATACAATTTCAAATAGTCAAATACAGTCAGAATAGCAAAACAAACAAAAATATGAGGACTTCTAAAGTACTTACTTTGTGCCAGTCATTGTGACCAACACTTACTTGTCATTCATTTAAGTTAGCGGAAAGATACTGCTGAGCAAGTATGGTGGCTCCCATCTGTCACCCCAGTATTTTAGGAGGCCAAGGCAGGATAATCACGTGAGCCCAGGAGTTTGAGACCAGCCTGGGCAAACATAGCAAGGCCACTTCTCTATAAAAATGTTTAAAAATTAGCCAGTAGTCCCACGAATTCAGGAGGCTGAGATGGGAGAATCCGTAAGTCCAGGAGTTGGAGGATGCAATGAGCTATGATTGTGCCACTGCAGTCCAGCCTGTGTGACAAACTAAATGGNAGAGAGAGAGAGAGAGAGAGAGAGAGAGAGAGAGAGAAAAGCAAACTGTGGAAACTTGCAAGTGCCTCATGCTGACACGACCAGCTAGGAGGTCCTTTGCTGAAAGTCATATTTGCAGGAGAGAAAGAAAGGGAAGGAGGGAGAGAGAGAGAGGGAAAGAAACAAAGAGAGACTGACAGAGCGAGCGGGGGGAAAGGGAGACAGGAAAGGAGATAGTGAGGATGAGAGCGGGGAGACAGAAGGAGAGACAGGAAGAGAGAGAAAGAGAGAAGGGGAAAAAGACAGGGAGAGAGAGGAGGGGGGACAGTCTGAGGGAGAGAGAGAGGGAGAGGGAAGAGACAGTGGCAGGAAGGGAGAGAGAGAGAGGGTGAGAGACAGAGGAAAAGAGAGAGGGAATGGGAGAGAGGGAGGAAGATATATGGAGAGAGACACACAGACAGGAAGAGAGAGAGAGAGAAGAGTGAGGGGAAGAGTGAGAGAGGGAGGGAGACAGTCAGGGAGAGAGACACTATTCCTCTGGGTAGAATCTATTGCTACCCACAACCTACTTCTACATGAATGTACCAGACATGCTTTAATATTTCCAGAAGATTTTTTTTTTTCTGAGACGGAGTTTTGCTCTTGTTACCAAGGCCGGAGTGCAATGGCGCGATCTCGGCTCATCCCAACCTCCGCTTCCTGGGTTCAGGCAATTCTCCTGCCTCAGCCTCCTAAGTAGCTGGGATTACAGGCACACGTCACCATGCCCAGCTGATTTTTTGTATTTTTAGTAGAGACGAGGTTTCACCATGTTGACCAGGATGGTCTTGATCTCTTGACCTTGTGATCCACCCGCCTCGGCCTCCCAAAGTGCTGGGATTACAGGCGTGAGCCACCGCGCCCAGCCCTTCCAGAAGATTTAAAGAATTACTACGAATTAGAGAATGACTTCTACAAAAACATGTGGCTAAAAGCCCTGATGATTACAAAATCTGTACATCTGCATCCCTCACGGACATACTTTCTCTCTTCCATATTACTCTTACTAAGTTGTAGCTAGAAGTTAATACAATTTCAAATAGTCAAATACAGTCAGAATGGCAAAAGAAACAAGTGTCAGGACTTTTAAAGTACTTATTTTGTTCCAATTATTGTAACCAACACCTAACTGTCACACATTTAAATTAGGAGAAAAATATTGCTGACCAAGCATGGTGGCTGACGTCTATTATCCCAACATTTTGGGAGGCCAAGGCAGGAAGATCACTTGAGCCCAGGAGTTTGAGACCAGCCCAGGAAAACAGCAAGGCCACTTCTCAATAAAAATTTTTTAAAAATTAGCCAGTAGTCCTAGGTATTCAGGAGGCTGGGATGGGAGAAGCCTTAAGCCAAGGAGTTGAAAGCCACAATGAGCTATGATTGTGCCACTGCACTCCAGTCTGGGTGACAGAGTAAACGGAAAAACAGCTGAGTTAAAAAACACGAAGACAGATTCATTGGATCTTTTTGGCATTTTCTGTTGCAATTTCCAGAGTGACTTTTTGCAACCTGAACATGCGTCTCAGGTATGAACTATAACCATTCATTTCTTGTTTCAAGGCACTTGCCTGCTCACCCTGTGAACACCCTTATTACCTTCGGAGTAGTGGGATAGGGTCAACAGGCTGACAGAGGAGGCCCCAGCCCCTGAGCCAAAGATGGTCACGCGCTTTGGGTCCCCGCCAAAGGCTCCCACATTCTCCTCAATCCAGCGCAGTGCTTGAATCTGATCCAGGAGCCCATAGTTGCCTTTTGCTGCTTGGTCACCGGTACTTAAAAACCCTACAAAAGAACACAGGACATTTTTGGTGGTCAGATATAGCTTGCTTTCTTCATTCTTTCTCACCTCAGTCATCATCCCCACAAGAAAAACTGGATTAAAATTTTTGTGGTAGAAATAATTATATAAATAATGGTTATGGTTTAGGTTGACATTATGATACAATATTTTGATACATATGTTGCTAATGTAGAAGACAAAATAAATCTAAAATAGTAATAACATGAAGCAATCTCAGAAGATATAAATTTTACTAGATTCAGTGTATCATTAATGTTTTTTCCTTTTCTTTCTTTCCTTCCTTCCTTTTCTTTCCTCTCCCTCCCTTCCTCCCTTCCTTCCTTCCACCATTCCCTCCCTTCCCTTCCTGCCTTCCTCTCTCTCTCACACACTCTGTCTTTACCATTCCTTCCCCCTTTCTTTCTCTCTTCCTCTTTTTCTCTCTCTTTCTTTCCCTCCCTCCCTCCCTCCCTTCCTTCCTTCCCCTATCTTTCTTTCTCTCTCTCTCTTTATCTCTCTCTCTTTCTTTCTTCCCTTTTTCTTTCTTTCTTCTTTCTTTCTTCCTTCCTTCCTTTCCCTATCTTTCTTTCTTTCCTTCTTCCTTCCTTCTTCCTTCCTTCCTTCTTTCCTTCCTTCTTTCTTCCTTCCTTCCTTCTTTCCTTCCTCCCTTCCTTCCTTCCTTCCTTTCCTCCCTCCCTCCTTCCCTCCTTCCTTGCTTCCTTTTTTTCTTTCTTTCTTTCTTCTTTTCTTTTCCTTCTTTCTTTCTTTTTTCTTCCTTCCTTCCTTCCTTCCTTCTCTCTTTCTTTCTATCTTGTACCATTATTGCATCCTTAGTTGAGCCTTTCTCCCAAGGAAACCCTGAAGCCTTTTATGAACAACTGTGTCATATAAGGGAGAGGTTTGTTTGTATGAATACTGACTGCTTTAAGTCCTAAAATAACATAAATCCAAACCAACTCCTTTAAAGAATATCCGTAACCAAAGATGACAGCGTTTCAAGGAGTGACTAAATGCAGGCTTCCACTTTTAAAACATAAAGAGTTGAGGATGAGGCTGTATAACAGTTGAGTCAACAGCTTTTCTTCCATGAGGTTTCCTGAGCTCATGTGAAAAAATATTCTGGACTGGAAAGGAGGAAATGGGCTGGCTCCAAAGAAAGTCACAGGATGGTTTTTGTTCTACAATGACAATAAAAATTCTAAGTCCATATTGGGAGTCACTCTGTCCTGAAGCTTCAAAGAAAGACACCCTTGCCTTTCCTTGTTGGAAGCTTAAGACACAACCATATCTTCTTTAAAGTACAGAGGGACCCAATGTGAGATTAGCCCTGATTAGTGTGTATATTCAGACACTAGTAAAGCTCCCCCATTACTTAATTAGTTATTATTAATTAGTGCTTTAGGCTAAAAATGTTCTACAACACCTGTGTCCATCACTAAATTTTTGACAGGGTTTGTTCATGAAAGTCATCAGGCTTTGCTTACGTGAAAAGATCCTGTCATTCAGGATACATAAGGCAATGATGAATAATGCCAGTTTTGGTGTCCTATAATATCACATGGCAATGCTTTCGTCCCTCGTTAAAGAGAGAGGTGATTAATTTTCTAACAGTACCCTTCTGTCTTCAGCACATCTTTTCTTAACTCACTGTTCTCTCTTTCTCAATTCTGCAGAATAACTTGTTTGCTTATGTTGTTTCTGTAGAGGAGCATGAAGATTTTCAACATGCAGTGAATTACTGGTCTTTCTTCCACCACAACTCCTTCCTCCTTAGCAAAACAAGAGTGCCATAACCTTTCCAATGGCAGGCTAATGAATATCCCCTGCCTTCAAAAATCTTAATTATGCAAACAACATTCTACTGGATAACTGATAATATTGATCTTTGAGGTTCTGAATTTCTTCCACATATCCTGTAAGCTGGCTGAGGGAAATTGCAATGCATGTGAAGTTTAAGAAATGAATGTGGTGTTTTGAAGCATAATTTCTGCAGTGGAATTTTATTTACTGCAACATCCAGGGATTATTTTTTTTCTTTTTAAATTTAAACTGACAATAAGGGAGAGTGCTTATTTCAGGTACAGAATAAATAAAATAATTTCATGTTCTTTATGAGAGTATAGTCCTTTCATCTTGAATCACCTTTGCAAATTTACACCTATGAGGAAATTATGATGGTGAAAGAGACCTGACCTAATCAACTCTATCTTGCCTTTAACCTCCATACTTCTCTTGATCATTCCTGGTCATGGGCCATGCTAACTTCGGGAGAAATTGACCTTAATGAAAGGGGCCTAGATTCTGCTAAGAAGTAGGTTTTGTTAAATTATTACCAGCCATTATTCCAGATATCACAAGATTTACAACTTCCTCAATCACCAGAAGCTAAAATTGGCTTTTTAAAACTTGTATTTAGGTTCAGGAGTATATACCTGTAGGTTTACTATATAGATAAGTTGCAGGTCACAAAGGTTTGATGTACAGGTTATTTTCTTTCCCAGCTGATACGCACAGTGCAGAATGGGCTTTTGAGATATGTTTTCAGGCCTTTGCATTTCTGAGAACTAATTGGTTTTAGTGTGACCAGTGACTCCTCTGTGCCCCCACATGCAGGCAGACTCAGTGTACCAGGACTATTTTCTACACCTCTATTATTTCATCTCTACCCAATCACCAGCACTCATTTCCTAGCCCCTCTCTGCGAAAGTATTCTTGAAAAATTCAAGCCTCCAAATTTTTGAGAAGGCTGATTTCAATAATAATAAAAACGAAGATTAGTGCTCCTTCTGAGAATTCAGCCCTGAGGTAGATCATTTAACTTTAAATGTATGCTCAAGGTAAATGAAAAGAACAAGCCACTTGATTGTTTCAGACTGTAGACATACAATAAATGGCTCCTTTCATTAGCAGCTCCTTTAGACTCTATACTCCCTAAGAATTTTTGCCGATAAAATTTTGGCTTTTAAGGGTTATTCTGCCTAAAATGAAGCTTGTAAATCAGCAACCTCTCCTTTAACAATAGAACAATTAAAGAAAGATGCAAAAGAAACCATGTGAATTAATACGCTTTAATGACTACACAGATGCCAATTTTCATCCAGATATTTTCAGTGATATAGTGTGGCTGTGTCCTCACCCAAATCTCATCTTGAATTGCAGCTCCCATAATCCCGACATGTGATGACTGTCAGAGATAACTGAATTATGGGAGTGGGTTTTTCTCATGGTGTTCCCATGGTATTGAGTATGTCTCATGAAATCTAATGGTTTTATAAAGGGCAGCTCCCCTACACAGGCTCTTTTGCTTGCCACATGTAACATGTGAGTTACATGTGACGTTGCTCCTCCTTTGTCCTTCTTTGTCCATGATTGTGAAGCCTTCCCAGCCACGTGCAGCTACAGTCCATTAAACCTCTTTTTCTTTGTAAATTACACAGTCACCGGTGTGTCTTTATTAGCAGCATGAGAACAGACTAATATGTTAGGGTGGTGTGGTTATTTAAAAGCAGTTTTCATGGAAAAGGTGCCCAAAAAGAGGAATCACATTTTTTCCTGCCACAGGCTGACTGAGCCTGAACAGAGGAATCACATTTTTTCCTTTTGCATGTTAACTGAAATGAATATTATATAAACACGAACATTTCTATTCAGGCTTAATTTACAATAGAAAAGTTTCCAATTTTTATTATAGATAATAATGTAGATGTTTCCTCTCCTCTTGAATTATATCATAGGACTTAGGAAAATAACTGCAGGTCTTTCGTTTATCCACACATTGCAAGTCAATGGTAAGAAAGTCAATGAGGTCAGATATTATTCGTAATTTAATTAAGAAAAGACATTGTTACATGGCATTAAAGACATAATCCATTATATTTTAGGAGGTCATTCCTCACATAAACACAGTAGGTATTTTTTTGGAGACAAGTAACCAGAAGATAATTAAGTGAATAGAGAAGTTAGATATTGTTCACCATTTCAGTGTGTGTAATTCACTTGTAGCTGGTGCATATATACAATATGCATATATAATCATATTATGCATGTGTGTGTATGAATGTATATGTACACAGACTTATATTTGTGCACCTTTAAACTGAAGAAGTGACGCCAAACAGGATATGCTTAAATTAAAATTCTTCAGTTCTCACTGAAGAATTTAAATGAGGTCACACAAACATGTTCAAAAAGAAATCTTGTAAGAATAAAAGCAGTGGTGTCAAAAACAAAAAATCAGTGAAATAGATCAAAAATTAATCTTTTATAGTTATATAAAATCATTGATGAGTCTGTTTATTACAAGATGAGGCTTTAATTTTCTGACTGAAATAATGTAGGATTTAACACAGGAGCACACACAGGCATGGGATGGGCTGCAAGGGAGGTAAGGGAATGTCCTGCATTCAAATTCTGTAGCCTGATATGCAGGGCTCGTTGAAATTCTGTGACTTTGATTTTTAGATTTACTTTACTTAAAAATTGAATCAGTATCCAGGCATTCTCCTATTGTGTCATGTTATGACATCATTACTGCATAGAACCAAAGCATATTTCCAAAGTCAGTAGAGAAAAATCTAGACAATTGTAACAGACACATGATTTTATACCACAAGTTTCCAAACTCGGAGGCCCATGAACTCATATTGCTACTCATTGCATCATTTTCATCAAGTAGATAATATCACCACACGTTTATCTAAAATAAAGCTATGTAGGTTGTTTTTAGTGCTTTAGTTTCAATTATATAAAATAAAAAACCTGAAATTGAGAAATAAAATGTAAAATAATAAATACAGTTTGTTTAGTAAACAGTAAAATATTAAAATTTAAAAATAACTGACTGATGAGTTTCATGAAAATGAAAATTTGAGAATGGCCAGCCTGGGAACAAATCTCTTTGAGTTTTGCAATGTTCACATTTTATTGCTAATATCTGTATATTTTGTTCACAATTTAAATCTCCTTCTGTAGCAATCTCAATCACACATACAACAGAACGA